TGTAAATTTTGGTCAATGACATGAGACAAAGTATATGTGAACTGCTGTATGAAAAGTGAATTTACTCTGTAAATCTTCACCCAAATCCTAATAATAAAAAAATAAGAAAAATCCTACTCAAATCTCCCAGCATTGCAGCAAAATCCCTAACAGTCTAGTGACCTTGGTCAAAGCCCCTTATTCAATATTTGTGACAAAAATTCCAACACAACAAAGGAGCTGGAGTTCATAATGGGATCTGCACTACTGTAAATGGGAGTGAGGGTATAATTCACTTAATTCACTCTTGCACAGAAATAAACCAAACCTACTGCCATTGAGTCGATCCTAACTCACAGCAACCCTACAGGACAGAATAGAATTGCCCCGTGGAGATTCCAAGACTGCAATCTTGATGGAAGCAGACTGCTACATATTTCTCCTGTGGAATGCTGGTGGGCTGACCTTTTGGTTAGCAGCTAAGAACATAACCATTATGTACCAAAGCTCCTATGCATAGAAATAGGGTGACTGAAAAGACAAACTATCAATTAATTGTTAACACAGCTTATCGTCCTTGCCAACAGGAGGAGCTCCAAGAATGTTTATGGAATCAGGGAATGATTAATTCAACTGCTCCTGGTCCCGCCACCTTACAATAAAGACTTGTTGGGTTTGAGCATGATCTATTTAAAACTGACCAACAATCGAAGCAACTTTCTGGAGTCTATTATCCTAAAGCCAGGCAGGTTTCCTAACAGTCCTAAATGGAGGCTCTATACCTGTCCTCATCGCATTTCCACAAACAAGTGGACCTACAAGGTAGGTGGAGAAGGAGTGGGGCTGCTGATGCAAACTGTTAGGGTTACTGAGCTGAAAAACAAGCCTCCATTATGAAAAAGCTCACAGGCTAGTAGAGAAAATCTTGGAAACCAATAAATTGTTCACATTAGTTGAGCAAGCACTGTGCTAAATGATCCTCATAATAACCACGAGGTAAGAATTAAACCTGTTTCACAAACAGGGAAACTAAAGTTCTGAGAGGTTAAGGAGATTGCCTAGGTCACACAGCTGGTAAACAGAAGGGCTAGAATTTGAAACAGTCTGACTGGAAACTGCAACTCTGACCAGTAGAAGTATGAGAAAGGCACTCTGTGGGCCCAAACAAACAAACAAAAAAAGCCAAACTCACTGCCATAGAGTCAATTCCAACTTACAGCAACCACTATTGGGTTTCTGAGGTAGTAAATCTTTACAGAAGTAGATTGCCCCATCTTCCTTCTGCGAAGCTGCTAGTGGGTTTGAACAACGAACCTTCTTGCTGGCAGTCAAATGCCTTAGGCACTGTGCAACCAGAGCTCAGCAGGTGTTTAATATGGCCCAGAGCTGTAGGAGACCCTCAGAAGTACCCTAGATGCTACATCTGGAAGTGTGGGAAAACACTGTAGGCCCAGTGTGGCTGTGAGCAGTCTGGTAGATTAGACACGCCAGTACAGGCTGCCTGCCAGGAGGCAGTGCAGGTGGAGTGGTGAAAGAGGAAGGCAGGGCCACCTCCGAGGGCCTGGTGGGCTGAGTTTAGACCTGAACCCCACGCAGAGCTCTGAGCATTTGGATCTGTCAGCTGACACAGGAACATGCTGAACTGCAGGCCATTCATACACCAGAACACTCCACTATGCAGTCACAGAAAGGAATGAGGGCTCCTTATGTACGGATATGGCAAGGTCTATTAAGAATAGGATGCAATCATTTATGTTAAAAAGGTTGGTGGTGTGTGCTGTCAAGCTGATTCCAACTCAGAGTGACCCTACAGAACAGAGTAGAACTGCCTAATAGGGTTTCCTAGGCTGTAATTTTTATGGGAACAGATTACCAGGTCTCTTCTCCTATGGAGCCATTGGTGGGTTTGAACCACCGGCCTTTGGTTAGCAGCTGAACCTTGAACCATTGTCCCCAGGGCTCCTTGTTAAAAAAATTGGGGATAACATATTTTCCTATTGTTTGTATGTGGGGAGGGAAAAAAAAACACCTCTGAAAGCATACCTAAAATGGAGTGAAAGGGACTTTTTAGCATTGCTTCACTCCTTTTTATAGCCTTTGAAAAATAGTTGCCCCGGTAGCACAACGGTTAAGCACTCAGCTGATAATTAAAAGGTTGGCAGTTTGAACCCACCCAGTGGCTCCCTGGCTTTCTCCACCAGAAAGACCTGGTGATGTGTTCCTATAAAGATTACAGTCTAGAAAACCCTAAAAGGCAGTTCAACACTGTCACATGGGGTTTCTAGGAGTCAAAATCAACTCCACAGCATCTAGCAGCAATCTCTGAGAAATGCACATACCTCTGACCTGGCAACTCCACTTTGATTTATTTACCTTTTATCTCCATATGTGCAAAATGACAGACATACCAGAATATTCAGCTACAGTACTGTTTATAAGGAGCTCTGGTGGCATAGTGCCTAAGGTATTTGACTGCTAACCAGAAGGCTGGTGGTTCAAACACACCAGCCACTCCAAGGAAGAAAGACTGGGCAATCTACTTCTGTAAAGATTTACCGCCTCAGAAACCCAAAGGGGGTCACTATGAATCAGGATCGACTTGATGGCCGTGAGTTTGAGTTGAGTGAGTTGAGCATTGTTTATGAAAGTCCCTGGGTGTTGTGAACGGTTAATGCACTTAGCTGCTAACCCCAAGTCTTTAAGTTGGAGTCCACCCAGAGATACCTTGAAAGGCCTGGGTGGCAATCTACTTCTGAAAAATTAGCCATTGAGAACCCTTTGGCACTCAGTTCTACTCTGACAGATATGGCGTTGCCCTAAGTTGGAGTCAACCAGGCAAGTGCTTTTTTTTTTTTTAAGCATTGTTTATAAGAGAAAAAGAATGGAATCAACCTCAACATCTATAGGAAACTGATTAAATAAACCATCCATTTGAAGAAACAGAGTGCATTTGTTTCACAAAGAATGTTCTATATGTTCTGATATGGAATGATTTCCAAGTTAGTAGAAAAAAGCAAGTTACATAGTATATGTATAGCCAGCTTCCATTTGTGTGGGAAGAAGAGTCAAATTCTATGCATATATATTTGCAAATGCATGAAATAGCTCCAGAAGAACATGGAATAAACCATAATAGTGGCTGCCTCTAGGGAGGAGAACTGAAGATTGGGGGTGGAGATGAGAATTATTTTACAATCATAGGCATACATTATCTATTCAAAACTTTAGAACATTTCTGACAAGGAGGGAGAGAGGGGGAGGGGGAGGGGGAAAAGTCATGTGCTAGGTTGGAGGCTAACACCATCTCAACACAGAGCATCATTCATCTGTTACAGTTTGTATGATGTTTTTAACCTGAGTTTGCTCTGGTCTGCTGTTACAAATTCCAACTCTAGGCCACAGCTAATTTCACTGAAGACTCAGGGCAGGATCTTCTCAGGAAGGTCATTTTGAAGAGAACGCTAGCTCTCCGCAAGGCAGATGACCCTTTAATTTCTGCATAAAGGCAACTGAATTAAGAGCTTTTCTCCAGCACCCTTTTTATTTATCGCCTAACCAAAAGAGGTTAGCTTCAACCAAAACAAGCTAAAATAGCCTCCAAAGGCCTGCCTTGTTACAATATATCCAGAACTGGGGGGCAGAGTTTAGCCTCAGTTCTTTACAGAGAAAACCAATCAAGTATTTATACACAATGCCCCATTAAAAACTGATCAGCAGTGCACCACCACTGTGTGCAGAAATAGTGTGCAGAAATCCTTGGGGGCTCTTCCCATTCCTATAGTCTCCTCTTGCTCATCCATAATAAGTCCTTGCTTTTTTGGGGGAAAGGTGGTCTGCGAGTATCTTGAGCATAGGCACCATTTGTTTATCTAGAGCTTTGATGGGAATGTGACTTCAACTCATTTTCTCCCCTGAATCTGTTTGAATATCTGAAAAGTATCCTGGGAGATAGGTGATGGTTCCTTAACAAAGACTTTCCATGGTGATTGTATAGGGCTCTTTAAGTACTTAATCCTGTTGTTTTTCAGAAACCTTTGCACCTGGGCTCCCAAGAAGCAACCAAGGCAAAACGAGCACCCAACAGGCTGGTGAGTGAGGCACCTCTCTTAGGAGTCACCGGAGGAGGGGAGGGAAGTGGAGAGGAGGGGAAAGGAGGTGGGGAGGCATAGGGGTACAGAAATCAGCTGAGGCATTCCATGCTGGCTCTGACTCGCTCCATCTCGTGCAGGAAGCTGTAGAACTGAGGCAAGGTTAATTCTGGGGAGAGAAAATCCAGCTTCAGGTAAATGTTTCCAGCTCCACAGAATCATCCAAAAATTAATTATCACCTTTTTTTTTTTTTTGTCTTAGTACAGTGAGCAGCTCTTGCAGGGTAATCAATCATGATGAAGAACTGAGACCTCTGAACATAGAAGGCTCCCAGCTCCTTTTTTAAAAAAAGGGTTTAAATGGCATAACTGCAGCACAAAGAGATGAAAGGGCATTACTCAGGATGTTCAATGTGACTTCTACAAGCAAGAGCTTCGAAGACCTTCAATCTCGGCCATTCCATGCCCCCCCTTTCCCCTTTGTCAAAAAGGCTCTTCATCAACTGTGGTGTCTCCAACCTGCTGATAGCTTATTAACAATTCTCAAGGAAAGACAGTGGCCCGGTTAAGTTTATTTTCCCAGTTGAGATGATTTGTAGCGGACTTCACAAGCTCACTGATTAAAGAGAACATGCAAAATGTAGAAAGGGTCAAGTGGGAATTTGGACTCACCTATATACAAGTTTTCAGTTTGGTTTCCTTTTTTAACCACCAACTTCAACTGAGTTAAAAAAAAAAAAAAATCAAAATGGCAACAAATGGGCAAAGAAATTCTCCAAATCCTTTTATCTAATTAAACATAAAAGCATCCAGCTTCCAACTTAAGAGATTCACAGGAACTGTCTGGATCACCCACCACCCAAAATTCTAACAATTCCCATGATTAGAGGGGCAATCAAAATTTTCACTAATAGTATCATTAACCTGAAAGTGGGCACATCAGTAACCATTTCGTGCCTGACCGCATTTCCATGAGATACATCAGACACTTCAGTGGAACATTTAAATGGACCTGGTGTGGATCTAATAATTTTAACAAAATCAAAAATCTATCTGTATTCAAGGAGCAGGAAGAGAAGACTTACTTGTAAAAAAATACTTCCCACTCTTTCCAATTCACTGCTCCCAGATGTCACTGTGACAAAAAAGAGAATAATAGTAAGTAACTGGTTGAAGACTCACTCTGAAGCCTTCCATCCTACTGTTCAGCTGAAGCCACATTGAGGTATGAGGACAGCAAGATGTGCTCTGCAGGTAGCTGACCTATCAAGAGCCATGATGGAGAGTTGCTGAATGTGGGAATCTAAATAGAAAAGCAGCTGCTGACTGCAATAGTCTTGGAGGACTAGGGACTTATCTTCCCCATCGAAGCTCCCTAAAAAGCTTTGCAACCCAACTTTATGTCACCCAAATGACCCAGGACTGGCTCCAAACAGTTACCTCCAAACTTCCACTCCATATCTATAAGCTGGTTAATCATCAGAGTCTGACCTACGGCCCATCGAGCAAGGGTGGGGGAATTCTGCTTCCACTGGAACAAAAGCAAAAAGCCAAAGTCATAACAATGAAGCAATCCCCTTCCCTACCCCTAGCCCCAAACATGGCAATATTCAGTATTTCACAGAAAGTAGGAAGGATGCAGAACCAAGGCTCAGTGTATATGCACATAGCTAGGGGTAGTCTAGGAGCTCTGGTAGCATAGTGGCTAAGGCACTTGACTGCTAACCAGAAGGCTGGCGGTTCAAACCCACCAGCCACTCCTCGGAAGGAAGGCT